GATTTTTATTATCTGCTGCAGGAAGTAAACAGGGTAAAAGAAAATGTATTCTTTATATTTTCTATTTTCATAACAAAGATTAAGAGAGATCTTTTCTCATCTCAAGTGCGTTGAGATGACATGTGTTGTGAATTGGCGCTATATAAATGAACTGAATTGAATTAGCTTAAGACATATAACAGGGTTTTTATTTCTCATTTTTATTTAAATTACTAGGCTCCAGTGGATAAAATCTAACAGGATTTTTTGTTTGTTTTGAAAGTCAGAAGAAACTTGTTTTTAGTCTGTGAAAGTTTTCATTATGGCCTAAAAACAGGTGTTTTAGTGGAAACATGAATAATAGCTGAGAGGATTTTCAAATCCATGGAAATTAAGTTTAAATGACTTATTCACCAAGAAGAGATTAGTCATGGTGGGGGACTGGACAACTGCAAGAACTCTGGCCAAGCCGTGAGAATTGAAGGTTGAAAGGTTGGAGGAGATAACAGGGATTGATGGAGGACCTTGGCCTATGATTGAGTCTTGGGAAAGGTGAGCTGAGGAGGATGGATGTGATACAAGATCTAAAAAAGGAAATTTATTTACAGAATCACAGTATGATAAATACATTCAAACCCTTCAAATGGAAACCTTTATGAACCAAGCTCCATACCAGATGGTGGCAGTAATGTTCATCTTTAGTTTATTTTCTGGCACCAGCATGAACAAGAGAATTAAGACCAGGTGATACAGTAGGTTTGGTTCTGGGATCAACGGCAAATTACAGCAACAACTCTTACCCCCTTTTCCCTAGGATTTTAAGTACATTTAATGTTTGAAGAACTGCAAACTAAAATTATTCATTAAAAAAATTATTGTTTTCTCATAGAATGCAGGCCCCCACCCCCTATTTTCCATTTAAATGATTTACATAGAGTAACATGGCATGGCGTACACCAAAGCAAAGTCTAGCCTTTTTTGCAATTTCAAGGATCAAACTTAAACATTTGGTTTAAGCCCTAAACACACACAGCAAAGCTGAAGGAGAATGTGGATTTTTTTGTTGTTAGGGTTAGGGCATGCCACAGACATCCCATGCATAGAGATGTCTGTGGCATGCACTCACTTAACATAGACCTACGTAATCCTACAATAACATGATATTTACAGTTCATTTATGAAAAAATGCTTTTCAGTAAAAGTCAACAGCAATAACTACAATAACAAACGAAAATTTTATTCAAGATGTATTTATTAATAATGCTTAACAATTCCTGTAATGAATGAATAGCACAATGAAAGAAATAATGTCTCATCTAAACATCCCTCACTTAACAATAAAAGTTAACAATAACTCTCATCTCCCAATAACAGATGATACTCAGCCTCAGCAATGAACGAAATAATGTCTGTTCTGTAGGCAATTGGAAAAATTAAATTAACAAATGAGCTAATTAACAAAAAATACCTCTTGTGTAGCAAAAATAACTCAAAATGTACCAAAAATATAATAATATATCAATAGACTATCTTTACTTTCGGAGTCCAGGTGGCTTTTCAGATTCCTTGCACCTCCATTGGACACCGAGACATATGTGCCTGCTTTGCACACTGTGCACAAGGCCTCCCATTTGTCTCGACCCGCTCTGAAAGCGGGGAAACTCTTCTGTAAATCGTCGGTAAACATACATTTGCGCTTTGGCATGTTGTTGGCGAACTGACAGCCACTCAATCTATATTCTCATTAAGAACAGGGCTGCCCGCACTGACGCGGCTCAGTGATTACGTCACACGCAGTGCCGTGCGCAGTGCCCTAGCGCCTGTAAATTTAATGGTCCAATTAAGGTAGTTTAAAAAATCCGGACATTTCCTCACTTTCTAAAAAAACCCGGGACGCCCGGGACAGGACGTGAAATACGGATATGCCCGGGTAAATTTGGACGTTTGGTCACCCTATTGGCAGCATACATAGCCTAATTAATATAGTCTAATAACCTAAAGCAAAATGCATGGTCTGGTTGTTCCATGTCAGGTACGCTGGTCATTGACCAGCTATCACTGCCCCTACACAGTTAGCATGGCTATCACTGCCCCTACATACAGTAGTTAGCATGGCTATCACTGCCCTTACATAGTTAGCATGGCTATTACTGCCCTTACATAGTTAGCATGGCTATTACTGCCCTTACATAATTAGCATGGCTATCACTGCCCCTACATAGTTAGCATGGCTATCACTGCCCCTACGTACAGTAGTTAGCATGGCTATCACTGCCCCTACATACAGTAGTTAGCATGGCTATCACTGCCCCTACATAGTTAGCATGGCTATCACTGCCCTTACATAGTTAGCATGGCTATCACTGCCCCTACATAGTTAGCATGGCTATCACTGCCCCTACATAGTTAGCATGGCTATCACTGCCCTTACATAGTAAGCATGGCTATCACTGCCCCTACATAGTTAGCATGGCTCTCACTGCCCTTACATAGTTAGTATGGCTATCACTGCCCCTACATAGTTAGCATGGCTATCACTGCCCCTACATAGTTAGCATGGCTCTCACTGCCCTTACAGAGTTAGCATGGCTATCACTGCCCATACATAGTTAGCATGGCTATCACTGCCCTTACATAGTTAGCATGGCTATCACTGCCCTTACATAGTTAGCATGGCTATCACTGCCCCTACATAGTAATTTTAATTTATAATTTAAGGTATTTTAAAAAATAAGATGGCTTCAGTCTTTTTAAAAACATGGGGACCTCATTTGTTTGTTATGCCGTCGTTTGAGTTGGAAACTACTAATCATCTGTTTTATGAATGTAAAGAAGTAGGAAACCTATGGGATCAACTTCAGATCTTTTTATCTTCTAGATCTATAAATGTGGACTTTAATTCCTTCTAAAATAATTCAGTAACTAAAAATGGAATTCTTAGTTAATGCTTTGATGATTATAACCAAATATTATATCCATAAATGTCGTTATGCAAAAATGCTCCCTGTCATTCTCTGTTCTCGAAAACGAACTTTCCTCCCTTAACCGATGCCTGAAAAAGATACAGAACCTTAAAGCAAATAAATTGTCTGATTTAATGGAAGAATTTCAGTTAGTCCCCTCTTCTTAATCATTTAATTATTAGTTTTTTGTGTTTTTTTTTTCCTTGTTCTAACTTCAAATTTCTATTGAAGTTAATAGGAGTTGTGAACTTATTTTTTTCTTGTAAAAAAAAAAAAAAAAAAAAATATATATATATATATACAGGTGCTGGTCATAAAATTAGAATATCATGAAAAAGTAGATTGATTTCAGTAATTCCATTTAAAAAGTGAAACTTGTATATTATATTCATACATTACATACAAACTCATATATTTCAGATGTTTATTTTGTTTAATTTTGATGATTACAAATGACAACAAATGAAAATCTCAAATTCATCATATCAGAAAATTAGAATATTACTGAAGACCAATAAAAACAAAGGATTTATAGAAATGTTGGCCAACTGAAAAGTATGAACATGAAAAGTATGAGCATGTACAGCTCTCAGTATTTAGTTGGGCCTCCTTTGGCCTGTATTACTGCAGCAATGCGGCGTGGCATGGAGTCGATCAGTCTGTGGCACTGCTCAGGTGTTATGATAGCCCAGGTTGCTCTAATAGTGGCTTTTAGCTCTTCTGAATTGTTGGGTCTGGTGTATTGCATCTTCTTCTTCACAATACCCCATAGATTTTCTATGGGGTTAAGGTCAGGAGAGTTTGCTGGCCAATTAAGAACAGGGATACCATGGTCCTTCAACCAGGTACTGGTAGCTTTGGCACTGTGTGCAGGTGTCAAGTCCTGTTGGAAAAGGAAATCTGCATCTCCAAAAAGTTGGTCAGCTGCAGGAAGCATGAAGTGCTCTAAAACTTCCTGGTATGTGGCTGCGTTGACCCTGGACCTCAGAAAACACAATGGACCAACACCAGCAGATGACATGGCACCCCAAACCATCACTGACTGTGGAAACTTTACACTGGACTTCAAGCAACGTGGATGAAGTGCCTCTCTTCTTTTCCTCCAGAATCTGGGACCTTGATTTCCAAAGGAAATGCAAAATTTACTTTCATCAGAGAACATGACTTTGGACCACTCACCAGCAGTCCAGTCCTGTTTCTCTTTAGCCCAGGCAAGACGCTTCTGACGCTGTCTGTGGTTCAAGAGTGGCTTGACACAAGGAATGCGACAGCAGAAACCCATGTCTTTCATACGTCTGTGTGTGGTGGTTCTTGAAGCACTCACTCCAGCTGCAGTCCACTCTTTGTGAATCTCCCCCACATTTTTGAAGGGGTTTTGTTTCACAATCCTCTCCAGGGTGCGGTTATCTCTCTTGCTTGTACACTTTTTTCGACCACATCTTTTCCTTCCCTTCGCCTCTCTATTAATGTGCTTGGACACTGAGCTCTGTGAACAGCCAGCCTCTTTAGCGATGACCTTTTGTGTCTTGCCCTCCTTGTGCAAGGTGTCGATGGTCGTCTTTTGGACAACTGTCAAGTCAGCAGTCTTCCCCATGATTGTGTAGCCTATAGAACTAGACTGAAAGACCATTTAAAGGCTTTTGCAGGTGGTTTGAGTTAATTAGCTGATTAGAGTGTGGCACCAGGGGCCATCAATTTTGAACCTTTTCACAATATTCTAATTTTCTGATATGATGAATTTGAGATTTTCATTTGTTGTCATTTGTAATCATCAAAATTAAACAAAATAAACATCTGAAATATATGAGTTTGTATGTAATGTATGAATATAATATACAAGTTTCACTTTTTAAATGGAATTACTGAAATCAATCTACTTTTTCATGATATTCTAATTTTATGACCAGCACCTGTATATAAGTCACTGCCCCTACACAGTTAGCATGGCTAACAACTAGTGCTAAAAGCACTAGTTGTTCACACTCCAGCCGACTAGATGTCAGCAATGCCTTTTAAACTGGGTTTTCCAACCGTCAATGAATAAAAAAAGTAGCGTCTACCGCTTCCTGTTTACGTTTTACACAATGACGTCAAAGGGGGAAAAAATGGGTGATCGAAGTGTTTCGTTTTGACACATCAGGCAACTTAAGGAACGACTTCCTGATGATTTTATAACAAAACTATATGCAAATATCCTCGGAAGCGCTACCGTCCTGAGCCGCACTGACAGGGACTCCTGTGGTTCTGGTCATCCCACTGAGGAAGCTAGCTAGCTAGCTTTATTCCCCACAGCTACAGGAGGGGAGCTGCTGGGAGTTGGTGTTGAGACGAATCGGCCGCAGAGACTCCAACTAACTTCCTCATTAAACTGAAAAGGCTGCGTCCGCCAGCATGGAAAACAAATATAACCTGAAAAGTCCAGGTAAGCTAACTGTCAGAGGGTTTCACCCTTAGCAAATGCTAAAAACACCCAACTATTAACCTTCTGCACCCAGAATTATCATCTTATTGATTAGTTTACTTAAATGGAAACAGAAACTTTATTGTTTTTGAAGGTTTATGTTGTTTACTCCATCTGGAAACAGTTTGGTTTCTTCCTGATTGGCTGTCAGACACATGCAGCCAATAGCAGCTGAAGATAAAGCAGATAAAACCATAGACTCAGGTTGTTGCTGTTATGCATTCTCGAATATGTTTTTTCTTGTTTATTTTATTCTCAGTGAGCTGGTCTTTATCAAATGTGTCTTTTAAACTAATGTGTGGGTGAACTGTGAGAAACAAACTCGTTTATTTAGGTGTTCAGTGCAGAGTATGAATGTTACATGTTTGCATACAGATAGAAGGCCCTGCGGCCAATGCACACACACCAACAGCTGCTAGGTTCCCTGCTAGGAGGATCCATCATTTTCCATTTAAAACTCTTTCTGTTGGGTTTCAATGGCAACATTAGAAATCAATGTGGCCAATTAGATAAGATTGAAATTCATTTATTTCTATTCAGTTTTAATTTAGTGTATTTCTATAGCGCGAATTCACATCATGTCATCTCAAGGCACTTTACAGTTCAACCAGATCATCCAGTCAGATTAATTCAAAGTTTTCTATCCAAGGAAAACCAGCTGATTGCATCGACTCATTGACTCTTCAGCAATCCCTGACACTAAGCATGCTTGTAGCGAAAGTGGAGAGGAAAAACTCCTTTTTAACAGGACAAACCTTCAGCAAAACCAGACTCAGTGGCCGTTTCTCAATTCACGGGAACGCGAGTACGGTTAAAGGTGTTAAAGTGTGGATTTGGTGAGAACGCGAGCACGCAGCATAGATCTGGGTCAACTGGAACAGAAGCGTACTCGTGACGTCACCACATGCTCAGCTCGTCTAGATCTGCATTTCACCTCCTGTTATTAATAGTCTCTATGTAATAATACATTTTAACTTGTTTCATTTAATGCGGGGATAATAATTAACACAGTCGGATAAATACAAATCAAATGAACATTTTGCAAAATAAAACAAAAAAAAAATCGCCATCAGAGCCAGCGGTCCTTCACACACGGCTATGCTGAGAGAGGGCTGCTATAGATAGGCTGCGGTTAGCCCTGGCTGCCATTAGCTTTGGAGCGCCGCTGGTTTCTAGAAATCTTTTTTTTAATTAATGTGCCATATAGTGTTCCTTTAAAGTATGATATTCTCGCCTCAAATGATCTTAAAACATACTTTTATTAAACAACAGCATCAGAAAGGAGAACTTTTAACTTTCAATGGAGCGCTCCATTGAAAGCTGCTGCTGCCGCGGTGCATGCTGGGACAGCTGTCAATTTCAAGAACGGACAAGTCTGCTCTGATGCATACTCGATAAAGATGGGGGGACAAGAACAACATCCGGGGATTTGGTACTTTGTCGGTCTGGCGTTCTCGGCAATTGGAACAATGTTCGGGCTGAGGCTGATGACGTATCACTAGCACACGAAAACGCTCATTGAGAAACGGTAAGTGTGAGCAGCCATCTGCTGAGGCCGACTGGGTTTCAAGGAGACAGAAGCAGAGATACAAAAGGTAACTGTAAAAGGCGGCCCCGTCCAAGAAACACACAGGCAGACGAGCTCCGAGCCAGCTCCCATGTCAGAAGATGAAGAGAGCACATCCAGTTAGTCACAGTCAGAGAAACAGGACTACACTGAGAAACAGGCTGATCTCCAGGATCTATAAACAAAGGTGTTGATGGCAGCAGCACAGCTGATATTTCTCTCCAGGATGGAGTCACAGCCGAACAGGAACAGACCAGATGAAGCTACTATGAGAAAAAGCAGAGAGAGCAGAACGTTAGAGATTGAACTAACAGATTCTGCAGAGTGGGAGAATAGAGATAGAATGAAGCAGAATGATGAAAAGGGGTCCCTATGTCCTCCAGCAGTCTAAGCCTATAGCAGCATAACTATAGAGATAGCTAAGGATAACCTGAGCCACTCTAACTAGAAGCTTTATCAAAAAGGAAAGTTTTAAGTCTAGCCTTAAAAGTAGACAGGGTGTCTGCCTCACGGACTAAAACTGGTAGTTGGTTCCACAGGAGAGGAGCCTGATAACTAAAAGATCTGCCTCCCATTCTACTTTTAGAAATTCTAGGAACCCCTAGTAAACCTGCAGATTGAGAGCGAAGTGCTCTGTTAGGAACATAAGGAACAATCAGATCTCTGATATAAGATGGAGCTTGGCCATTTAAGGCTTTATATGTGAGAAGGAGGATTTTAAATTCTATTCTGGATTTAACAGGAAACCAATTTAGTGATCAAAGGTTCTGCAGGGTTCTAAAAGGTTGGAGGAGAGCAAAAATAAAGTTAGAATTAAACTTCCATCTTCCATTGGATTCCACCAAGCTTTAATTTTTTGATTATGAATTATTTTAGCGTTAAGGTTGGTTAAACAAAATTTAAATAACTGTTCTCAGTTCTTATAGTCTCACTAAAGGGTTATAAAGAAATGAGTGTCATATTCTCATGTTCAATGTTTAATACCTTTTGAACTTTGGGGAATGATGCAGCTGCTGTAGCACAGATCCATTAGGCTTTGGTCATTTGGTAGATATTAGCTTTTGTTAGATTAGCCTATTAATATGCATATATATTATAAGTAATCTAATATATAGATTATATATATGTACTCAAATTGAAATCTTTTTCACTATAGAAGTACAGGTGCTGGTCATAAAATTAGAATATCATGAAAAAGTAGATTGATTTCAGTAATTCCATTTAAAGAGTGAAACTTGTATATTATATTCATACATTACATACAAACTCATATATTTCAGATGTTTATTTTGTTTAATTTTGATGATTACAAATGACAACAAATGAAAATCTCAAATTCATCATATCAGAAAATTAGAATATTACTGAAGACCAATAAAAACAAAGGATTTATAGAAATGTTGGCCAACTGAAAAGTATGAACATGAAAAGTATGAGCATGTACAGCACTCAGTATTTAGTTGGGCCTCCTTTGGCCTGTATTACTGCAGCAATGCGGCGTGGCATGGAGTCGATCAGTCTGTGGCACTGCTCAGGTGTTATGATAGCCCAGGTTGCTCTAATAGTGGCTTTTAGCTCTTCTGAATTGTTGGGTCTGGTGTATTGCATCTTCTTCTTCACAATACCCCATAGATTTTCTATGGGGTTAAGGTCAGGAGAGTTTGCTGGCCAATTAAGAACAGGGATACCATGGTCCTTCAACCAGGTACTGGTAGCTTTGGCACTGTGTGCAGGTGCCAAGTCCTGTTGGAAAATGAAATCTGCATCTCCAAAAAGTTGGTCAGCTGCAGGAAGCATGAAGTGCTCTAAAACTTCCTGGTATGTGGCTGCGTTGACCCTGGACCTCAGAAAACACAATGGACCAACACCAGCAGATGACATGGCACCCCAAACCATCACTGACTGTGGAAACTTTACACTGGACTTCAAGCAACGTGGATGAAGTGCCTCTCTTCTTTTCCTCCAGACTCTGGGACCTTGATTTCCAAAGGAAATGCAAAATTTACTTTCATCAGAGAACATGACTTTGGACCACTCACCAGCAGTCCAGTCCTGTTTCTCTTTAGCCCAGGCAAGACGCTTCTGACGCTGTCTGTGGTTCAAGAGTGGCTTGACACAAGGAATGCGACAGCAGAAACCCATGTCTTTCATACGTCTGTGTGTGGTGGTTCTTGAAGCACTCACTCCAGCTGCAGTCCACTCTTTGTGAATCTCCCCCACATTTTTGAATGGGTTTTGTTTCACAATCCTCTCCAGGGTGCGGTTATCTCTCTTGCTTGTACACTTTTTTCGACCACATCTTTTCCTTCCCTTCGCCTCTCTATTAATGTGCTTGGACACTGAGCTCTGTGAACAGCCAGCCTCTTTAGCGATGACCTTTTGTGTCTTGCCCTCCTTGTGCAAGGTGTCGATGGTCGTCTTTTGGACAACTGTCAAGTCAGCAGTCTTCCCCATGATTGTGTAGCCTATAGAACTAGACTGAAAGACCATTTAAAGGCTTTTGCAGGTGGTTTGAGTTAATTAGCTGATTAGAGTGTGGCACCAGGGGCCATCAATTTTGAACCTTTTCACAATATTCTAATTTTCTGATATGATGAATTTGAGATTTTCATTTGTTGTCATTTGTAATCATCAAAATTAAACAAAATAAACATCTGAAATATATGAGTTTGTATGTAATGTATGAATATAATATACAAGTTTCACTTTTTAAATGGAATTACTGAAATCAATCTACTTTTTCATGATATTCTAATTTTATGACCAGCACCTGTATATATTAGAAACTTTAACTCTGATATCCTTGCTTTGGGTGATTATTAGATCTCCAGTTTCTAATGTGTGTCTGGACATTGAAGCCAGATCTTCATCTAATCAGTGTCTTTCTAACAGGTTAGTGTAAATGCTTTGTTTTAGTTTTGGTTTTAAAAGAAGAATACATTAACTTCCCCTGCAGCTGGAACCAGATGTCAGTTCCTTTAAAATAGAACAGAGAGTGAGAGCGAAACTTAGAAACGTTCTGGATCATAGAGTTTTGGTGCACATTTGCTCTAACATTATAGCATTGCAATGTCAGCTAATCATTCACTCCTCTGGTAACAAGCTCAAATTCACCAAGGGTGTAAAAACGTAATTTAATATCATGATGTGAAATTTAAACTTGGTATTAATCAGTATTTAAAGAGAAGAAAACACATTTGTGTCACAAAACAAACTAGGCTAAAGCAACTCAAAATTAAACACTTAATTTCACATTTGTCATTTAACATCTTGATTCCAGGATCATTTTTTTATTTTTTGGAAAAACCAATATTTCTCTAGTTCACTTGAAAATCCTAAAGAAAACTGTCCAGGCATCAGTTGGTCATGTTGGTCACCAACGGGCTCAGAAAAG